TCTATCCAACAGGTAGCAACAGCCTCAGATGGATCTGTTTAGCACATCATAACTTTCTACAGAGAGGTGTTCATTTGTGTTCATTCTTTGCATGACATGATTACATACATCTTTAATCATGCTCACAAATCGTGGTTACCTGTGTTAGTATTCAATCATGTTGCATGCGTGTTCACAACACTCGTAAAACAAACACACTGGGCTCAGTAACATCCTCACATTGTAAACAAATGGGCAGCCTGTAGAGGATCTGAAAGGACACAGAAATGAGAGCAGAGTTGGTGGGGACCATGAGCAGCCCCAACAATAAGGTCCCATTCACTGGACATGGGTGATGAGGTGCTTCCACCAATAATGAATCTGTTTGTTGGATTTCTCCTCACTTCGATGCATGAGCCATATTCAAATGCAACACTTTATTCTGAGATCCTATGTTCCACTGAAGCATATTTAACAACTTAAGGGACTACTTAAGCTATGAATTCAGAGTATCAAACTGTGTTATTATGGTCTTGACCAAATTGGAATTGGTGACCATCCCCATGCCTGTAGGTGTTCTAGTAACTTATCTTAGTTCATTTACAAACCTAAACATCAATGGAAATCCTCTGATCCACAACTATTTTAACCTGGTCAACACCACAGCCACCAAAAGGTTGCTTAGCATCCCCTGATGCCCTTGGACAGAGGAGCCCTTCATACACCAGGAATTCCAGATCCTTCTGACCATGCCTACCAGCTTCATGACCACTTAAGACCACTAGTCACCATATAGCTATTTGGAGACACCAACTCCCACCTCAATTTTTTGTTTCTTAACCAATTCAGATTGCCTACATGTGCATGTGTCATTGGAGCTTAACACCACACACAGCTGCTGAGGCTTTATGGCAATGCCTGTCCCTCACCCTGGCAGGGAGGGCAGGCACCACTGGGAACCAATCCTGTACCTCTGGTTTACCAGATGTGCAGATGTTAATAGATGCATTAGCACACACCACCAGCCCCTTAGATGCCTATGAGAGACTAGAGTTCCTGAAGAATCATGAAAGTGTGCTTATTATGGATTACCCTGTAATTCAGGGTCCCTGGCCTTTCCAGATGACTACTTTGACATCAGGATGGTCTTGCTCCTGTCTCCACAGATAACTTATAACTCCTTTTTGGCCTGGCTATTGCCTGGCCCACGCTGGTGTTCACAAGCGTCTCATGGGTCCAACAAGGTCTATGGCCCTTTGTTTCTCATGTTCCATTATGGGGTCTTGATGCGTTCTCATGCTGGGAATTTCTTGACAGCTACAATTCAATTCTTATGCAGTGTATAATAAATATGCATATTGTGCATTCTAATTATGTGTCACCTATATCAATATTCACTACAATGCATTACTACAAATTACAATGTGATCCCATTACATGTAATATGCCTCTGTATCTGTGGTGAAAGCTGGGTCACATGATCCAACTGAATATCTTGGATAATGATGTTAACCTTTACAGCGAATTGATATATCTTACACTTAAATTGAAAATAATGTAAGGCAGATCAGAACAGTCTAGAGGAATAAGATTTTGTTATACCCAAACTAGTGTTATTGTGCAATGTTAGTTTTTAAGGTAAATTGGTGGGATACTGTCAGTATTCAGTAAATAATGCACAGTATGCGTAACTATTTCTTGCCGCATTCATATGCTAAATATGAATTAACACTGATAGATTTTATTAGCATAGAATGTAATGCCTCAAGGGCTGCAAAATCCACTCATATATTTATATTAGCATAAAATGTAATGCCTCAAGGGCTGCAAAATATCAATTTTCCCATGATCAACTAGTTGTGAAATGTCATTGCACAGCATGCCTCATGGAGTCCTGGTGTCTTCAACCTGATCTAGCAGGGCAAAATTACAATTATTTTTTCCTGCAGTAATCACTAACAATAACCAATCCAGCTATACATACATGCAGCTGGGCCCCACAGGCCATCATTACTTAGGTTGACTTGTCTTTAAGAGGATCTGAGGGGAAGCAAGCAGTAAAGCTCCAATTGTCTATGAGCAGAGAAAAAGGCCCTTTAGTTTTGAATCTGTCAGACTGTGAGGTTTCCCTGACCCAATTTAAAACATACTTTCACCTTCAGCACTTCCCTATACTGCAGCACAATGATCTTCAGTGCAGAATTGTATTCAGTGTATTCAGTGCAGCCCAATATAAAGGTTGACCAATGCCTGTGACATGCTGTGGTATGGTGCTTCACTTGGCAGGCTGCTGTTCTTGGAAGTCCCCAGTCATATATGATTTCAAACCACACTAATGCTTATACCATCTTCATCATTGTTTTAAAACACATATTGTAACCAGCTACTTTTTCTGTATCATGCTTGATATTTATCCATACTCTACTACAACCTTAAAATTTGTGGGCATGCAATGGCTGCATAGACTAACTTTTAAATTATACCTGTGAAGACATTTGTGATATCTAATCATAAGGCTCCAAATACACATGAGCTAATGTTTATAATTGTGTTGATGCCCACAAATGCTGGTGAATTACATATCTAAGCAGCTCCAAAAATAGTGATCATCTGTATTCAGCTTAAATGAAACAAGATGGTGGATACATGCTGCATTTCTACCACATTTTATCAATAATCTTAAACTTTGGCCTAGTAACTGATTTAGGTCATCACATACTGATGGGTCCTTTTCCAGTATTCATGCTCTTGATTGTGAAAAAATAAAACGCAATTAAGTTTCGATGCCTGATAGGGATTTGTTTTGCTCCGGGAGGCAGTTGTTAAATTAAGCATTCTCATGGGCATGGCAATGACGCGCAAGTTCTGCGCAAACACAACACCGCGCCAATCGCATATGCTAACACAATGCAGTGACCCTTACCTTCCATGAGATTCAATGAAGGTCTAGTTTCTTCATGTTCATTTCCTGTGATCTGCTAAAAGCACGGGGAAGATAGATCAGACTTCGGACATCTACGACGGAAATAAGCGTCGCCAACACAACACACCACAGCGCGGCCTCCCACTGCCGACTTGACACGCATCCGGGAACTTCGGCGCCATGCATTTTCTTTATCGATTGAGACCTTTTTATGCGTGAATTTCACCTAAGGCGCATCAGTATTTGTAACAAAGGTCTACTGTAGTTTAAGAAAAAGTTGCTACAATCCAATTGTACTATGGTCTTTGGGTCAAAAGGCTGTGTTTTTATGTATGGCTATGTTGTGTGAATATCGATACAGAAACTGAAACCCCGCCCACTGCGTTGGAGCACTACCCAAAAACGTAAGCAGATTGAATACGCGCTGTTCAATATAATAACAGTATATACGGCAATTATGTTTACTATGGACAACGTGCCTTTAAATATAATGCAATTTCAAAAACAAACAACGTGTTAGAACGGATGATGATGCTTTACAAAGCACATTTGCACCGAGCATTTCTCGTTGCCGCCCCCTCTGCTACGATCGTAAGCATGCAAGCGTACAAGCGGTACGCGGACCTTGATATAGTGGTGTGCGCGGGGCAATGTGATCTTGAATCTGTCCGATCTCAAATGATTTCGCAATCCTCGTGAAGACCCTTGGTGTAAGTGATCTTCGAAAGAGGCATTGGTGTAAAGTAGCATTACTATCAGCTGGAAAAGCTTAGTGGCCTGTCATGAGGATCGTTCACTGATGTTCATTGAATGTTCATCGGCCCACATCAATGCCTGGCGGGTTAGTGTGTTTGGGGTCAGCTAGATTAGCAGTCTTTTCCGGCAGGAATGCATTCAAGAGGTGGAGAGGCCAGTATGCAAAAAGATCATCCACTGCTTCAGAAGGCTATGCTGCGCACAACCACGCACATCAGTCTGCAAACCGTGGCAAACATGCAAATGGGATGTTTGGGGCAGACATAATTCTTACCCTTAAAAGAGTAGAAGAACTGATGCATTTGGGGAATCATTTTTATCTTTTGCTTACCTCCAAAGATGTAGCTACCATCACCTTTGGTCTTTTTTGTGATCTTTCCTGTTTTGATGACAAACCATTCTCTCATTGGTCTATTTCCATAATTTCCGCACACAATCTTGATAAGCTGGCCCAAAGGAGAAGTTTTCCCGATACTCTGGCTCCGATGAATCCCATCAAGATCTACTATGGTTTCCAGATAGGCTGGCATGTGTGAGCTAAATTGCACACCAGCCAAAATTGTGCTGAATTTATAAATTATTTTTGCTCAGTAAGTTAAGGAGTTTTCTGCCAGAAATAATGTTTGCAACATGATAATACCTTGAAGCATTGCTTACCTGTATGCCAAAATTGGTGACAACCATGCATCAAACCCTGAATGCCCAGATTAGTTATGTTGTTATGTTAGCATGTGCTGAACTTTTGCTGCAGTCTCACTGCTATGTGAGACATGTTTAATATGAGTGCATGTTGATTGGGCATGTACTCTGGCCTTTTCAGTTGTTCTGCAAGTAAAATTATGCACAAAAAGGTAATAATTCACAGGCTAGTCTTTGTAGCTGTATACATATAGCTTGAGATCATGGATATTAACATGTGCCATACAACAAATGTTGAGTACCTGCAGCATGAACAAATTTGCTTTTCCTGCCTACACACCAAGCTATGTATTGGTAAAAATCCACCTGGTTACAAAACTTCCTCATAATCAGCAGTAGGTTTGGACCCTAATTGGGCTAGATATCCTAGGCAAATAGCATGTGTTTTGCTAGTTATGAGGAGAAACTAATATTATGGGGCTCTAAGATTTAAAACTCAAAAATAAAATGAGTTGTGGTCCTGTAAATTCCAATAGCTCAGTTGGTTTGAGCACTAGCCTTCCACTCCACCTACCCCTGGTATGGTGGGTTATAGCTGTTTTGGGCATTGACTATTTGCTCTTGATGGGCATGGCCTATGGCTGTTTGCAGCAGCCATGCTTAAGGTCAGGAGACATCAGATAGCACAACAGACCTTGCCTAGCTTTGTGTTATGTTAAACTTTCATTACTAGGTCATGCCATTGGCCTGCCATTGCAAGGTTGGTAGGAGTTAGGGCACTCACAGGAAGCACTGCTTAGGATGTGCTCTGATCCCAGAAATCCATTAGTTTCAAAGGTTTAGATTAGGTCTTTGTTTTCAACTCAATCTGGCCAAGTGTTGTGCTGTTCAAACCTTCCTTCTCTTATTGCTCTTTGCCTAAGCTCCATCATTAGAATCTCAGGTATCTTCCTTTTCAACCAGACAGTCACTGTCAAAATCTTGTGAGTTGTGCCACATTGAACAGGCTGTGCTATTGTTGCCTTACTTTTATGGGGGATTTCAGTGTCTTTGGTTTTGTGCAATTTCCTGGATTCTTTGTCAGCCAAAAGTTGATTACATCTATAGGAACCAACTGAAAACCTAAATTGCCATGACTGCTCACCAGGGTTGCAAAATTGGTTAGGCTGGGTCATAATCTCCAACAAAAGCTATGTTTTGCCTTCTGCCACAGAAGCAGACATGAGCCGCAGTGCATCCCAGACAGAGGGGGCGGGCGGTGCTGCGACTGGCCCAGCTGGCACCATCCGCTCAGTGCCTGCTGTGGTTAGCTCGAAGGAGGGTGCGGTGGACGTCGAGAATGGGCAGGACATCAATGCCGGTACGTCCGTGACACCAGCGCCCCAAGACAGCCGGGGCGTCCGTAGGCGTCAGCGCCCCGAGACAAGACCGGGGCGTCCGTGACGTCACGCGCCCCGAGGAACAGCCGGCGTCCGTGACGTCAGCGTCTCCGAGACAGCCAGGGCCTTCCGTGGCGTTCAGCGCCCCGAGTGTATACTTAGTCTGGCATGGCCGTCCGTGACGTTCAGTCGCCCCGAGAGCTATGCGGGCGCCCGTGCACGTCAGCGCCTCGAGCTAGCCGGGCGTCAGTGACGTTAGCGCCCCGCGACAGCCGGGCGTCCGTTGGACGTCAGCGCCCCGAGACAGCCGGTGTCCGTTGACCATCAGTGCCCCGAGACAGCCAGACATCAGCACAATCAAAGGGCTCTGGCCCCGTGTCGGCCTCCGGATCGGCGGAGCAAGCGTCGTCCCATCACAGGGTTAGCATTCAGACGCCCCTCCATGCAGGCTGCTGGGAGAAAGGTGGAGATGGAAGGTGGCCAGATGGAGAAAAAGAAGAGGAAACAGAGCAGGATCAATATGAGGTATGCACTTAAATAAGGTTCTTGTATTTTACCATTCAAAAGAATCCTACGACTGGTTGTGAAATGTCAGTGTGAAGTGCTGTTAGGCCGACATATAAGGTGGCTCATATCCAAACATAAAGACTAGTGCAGAGTGCTTTGTTCACTGCTAGCTCCATCCATCTTCATTGACACCAGTAGGCGCCCTAACAGCGCCCTCGTCTCCCCGCCCATTATCCCTACCTGCCTGTATACTCACTGCTCTGTGCTCCACGCCCAACCTGTGGCCGGTGCCGCCAGCTGGCCGAGGAGCGGCACCGGGCGCTGCGCGAGCGGCTGCTGCACCTGACGCAGCCGCGCGCTTCCATCCTGAGCGAGCGCGGCGAGGCGCGGCCCGGCGCCAGCGAGCAGCGCAGCATCATCAGCCAGTACCTGCGCCAGCGCGACCCGCGCCTCTTCATCAGCAGCCAGCGGCGCGTGGTGCGCTCCTTCCTGCCGCCCATCTTCCGCAGCCGGTTCGCGCCGGCCGAGACGGCCGCAGCGCGCTGCCAGGTGCGTGGTCGGGCGGTGTCCATGGCGGCCGACGGCCGGCGGCAAGAGTGGTGGCAGGTGCCGTGGGGCTGGAAAGAGGCGGGCCTCTGGAATAAAGCCGCTGTGAACGGGTGTTAGGGGATGTGGAATGTGAGCCGCCATTACGTTGTTGTCATCAAGTGGCGCCTTTGTCTGAGGTGTTGCTTTTCAAGGGTGGGAATGAAATACCACTGGTAAGCATTGTATACGTTGAGTAACATCGACAACCACAGCTTTTCATTGCGAATGACACTGTTGTGGGCTGATTGTAACATGACTGCCTAGTCGTCACACGAGGGTCTCGTCCAACCAGCTCTCAGCGGCGCCTGCCGTCCAAGATGGCAGAAACACAGCGTACCATGGAGCGCACGTACTCGACCAAGAAGCACCGGATGCCGGCCGAGCAGGAGCTGGAGGACCGCATTCTCCGCGAGCGTTGCCAGCTGCCCATGCTGAGCAGGGCCAGCGCCCACTGGTGAGCTACCCCCACCGTCGGTGGTAACGTGCCCATTGAGAGGATGATATTTGCCCTGACCCGGCGCTCTTGCTGCCGGAATTCCCCCTCCCCCTCCCCCCCTGTTTCCTCGTTTTATGATATTCTTTGTGTATCCACGCGCCACGTACAGACCATATATTATCTTAATCACGAAGCTCGTACTGGTTCCTCGCCATCGTTTCGAGCCCATGTGACTCCTCTCCCCTTCCGCTCCCGCCCACTGTCCCTTGTCGTTTGCTTGCGCCATGTTCTCTGTTCCTGTTCCTTGAATTCTCACTTGTTCTCCTTGTCTCGGCCATCTACCGTCCCATCCTCTCGGCCTCCGGTCCGTTGTCTCTTGTCCTCCGCGTCCCGTCCTTGTCCACCGTCCCCTCCCTGTTTTGTTCCTTGCTTCCTGTGACTACCGTCGCAGTCCGTCTCCTGTCATCCCATACCGCATCCACCTTCTCTACTGTCCCCCATCCTGTGACCCTGTTCTCCATCCGACCCTGTCCCCCACCCTGTGACCCTGTCCCCCGTCCCCATCCGGTCACCCCGTCCCCCGCCCTGTGACCCTGTCTTCCATGCCATGGTCCTGTTCCCCATCCCATGACCCTGTCTCCAATCTCGTGGCCTTGTCCCAATCTCGTGACCCGGTCCCCAATCCTATGACCCCGTCCCAAATCCCGTGATCCTGTCCCCCCGCCCTCCCACGACAGCCATCGGAGCGAGATGAAGCACAACTTCTGTATCGACGTGCTGGAGCGAGGCTGCCACCAGACGCACACGGAGATGTTCCACATCCTGCGACGCGACGAGGCGGTGAAGGCGGCCATGGCCGATCCGCCGGCGCTCATCGAATACACGCCGCACAAGCTGCAGAAGCTCAAGCAGTGCCTCGTCGACATGGAAGAGGCTGTCCGGAAATGTGTGCTCGGGCGGAATGGGGGGGGGGGGGGAAATCAAATGTGAATTAACGTCAATAAAAGCATAACCCATGACTGGTGGTGACAAAGTGAATCTAGGTCGTTGGTGTAGTTTTGATGCTGTTTCCACCGGTTGACGAGCCTTTTTCGAGCAGTGTTGTCATGTCGTGATGCCTGTCTTTGTATCCAATTAGGAGATGCATTCCCCATTATGACGACGAATAACGGCATCGCGGGGTGGGGTCTTAGAATTGTAGCTAGTCGTAATAGCTGCACAAAGGACCCCTTGATGCGTTTCACCTCGTTGTGCTGGTTTTAGTCCATATTTTTTCTCATTTATTTGATTTGCGGTGGATTATATGACCGTTTCGTTGTGCTAACTTAAGTCAATCGTGTTATCATTGATTTAATTTGCAGTGGATTATATGTCCGGGTACGCCTCCGCAAACGACCTGGCATTTTTCTTCCTGAAAGAGCCCGCTGATCTGTGGCTGGCTAAGCACTTCTTCGATAAATGCCTCGAGTTCGGGAAGAAGATCGATGACGACGGGAAGATGCGGGAGAGCGAGGCGCATTGCAACGTGGGCATCATGAATTTCTTTGATGGTAAGATGCTTTTCAGTCAGTCATGAGGAAAGTAGTAATGGCCTCGCAGTGTTTGGTTTTGAAATAAGTTGGAGATGGTGCACATTTTCGAGCGCGGCCCATGATTACATACTAAACCCGAAACTGAATAGCCGTTTTCCGTTTCGGGTTTTGTATGCGGTCAACGGCCGTGCCCGAAAGTTTTTACACAAAAATGTTGACACCTTTCAAAACTCAATGTTGTAAGGTAATTGGCACTCATTTCATGACCAACTGGTTGATGTGCCTGAGACATGCGCTGCGCTAGACGACCTGAAAGGTTGGATAGCGTGTTGGATCAGAATTCGTGTCGGAGACACCTTTGTTGCTTTTTGTTGGCATCCGAATAGCTTTGTATGTATATGTACGTGGGTTAAATTCCTTTTATTGTGTTTAGATATCATGTGTTGAAGTGTACTATATGATTGATACTGGGCTGCGCTTATGAGACACTTGTAGGAGTTGTAGCGTGGTCACTTCAAATAATTAACCATCGATCTCTCAGAACGCCTGGCTGTGACTAGCATTAAAGGCGTTTCAGTTGAAAGGTGCACTCCAAAAACTGTCAAGCTGACTTAAAATGCATTCCAGTTATGTCCGCTGTTCATTTATCTCTGCGATTCCTAAGGCGGGCTACGTTCAGTGCGCGACCACCCGTCCGTCCGCCCCCCCCCCCCCCCCCCCGCTGTGAACGCCTCGGTGCCGGTCACGGCGTCAGGCCGTGTGTGCGGTCGGAGCGCAGGGGTGCACCCTCACACCCCTCCCCCCTCACCACAGGCAACATCGACCTGGCGCTGACGCACCTGGAGAAGTTCCGTCGGCTCTCCTACAAGCAGGTGTGGGAGACGATCGACAACTACTCCTACTATCGCTACTCGTGCCTGCTGCTGCAGGACGTCTACCTCAGCCAGGCCGTGGCCGCCGAGAAGGAGGACCTGGAGAAGGCTTTCAAACTGTACCTGCGCGCCTCGGTCATGGCCAACCAAGGTCAGTGGCGAGTTGCTGCCACGGACAGCTGCTCGGCCTGGGCCCTGACGGTCCGGTGTTAGGTCTGCAATCGAATAGTTTTGTTGGAATGTTTATGCAGATGGTTGGAATCGGTTCAGCTTCGGCGCCCTATCGGTTGGCGTGTGTGTACAGGCTGCGCGTTCAGTCGTGGGGGGGGGGGGGGGGCATGGTGCGTCATCTGCTAGTTCTGTCCGTAGAATTAAGTATCGGTTTTGGCGATATTACACCCGCGTATTCACCTAGGCTGTGTCATCTCATTCAAAATATTTGGTACGCATTATAAGGGCCAGCTTTGAAGACATTGCCAACATGCGAATCGTCATATATGACGTATGCAAAACACATGTTCGAAAATGCCCTGCCACGCTGAGATAAACACCAGGTCACCTCCTCCTCCGTGTGGCCCGCCCATGAGCGGCGCCACCTGCTGTTGGCAGCCCAGAACATGCAGGCTGAGGCGATGGCGCAATACAACCTGGGTGAGATCCAGGAGAAGATGTGCAACTGGCAGAACGCACTGCGCCGCTACGACGCCTACCTGCGCCTCTCCGACAAGCTTCTCAACTTCAAGGGCGTGTGCACGGGCTGCTTCAAGGTCGCCAAGTGCCACGAGGCGTAAGCGGGGCTTGATTGGGTGGACGGCTCCCCGCCAGGGCAGGGCGGGAGATGCTGGAAGTGGCCCACCGAGCCAGTGATTGAACTGGGCCGCGCAGTTCCATGCGCAGCAGCGCGATGGCTTATCGGTTGTTTTATGACGCGCTAGCGTGTTGAAGCCTCCGGAACCATGATACATGGACGTTATCCAGTAGCATGTGTGTTTTGCGGCTGAGTGGCTGCTCCAACACTAACAGAGCCAGCGGCGTGCACGCTGACACGGCGCCGTCTGCACTCCGCCCGCAGCATGGATAAGCTGCCCCTGGCCGTGGATAACCTGAAGAGGAGCGAGCATATCGCGCGCGGGCAGCACCTGGACGAGGAGATTATCCGGGCCAGCTCCGAGCTTGGTCACATCTACCTCTCCATGGTGAGCCAGCCAGGGCGAACAACAGGCAGCTGGGGCCCCGGCTCCAGCTCGGACTCGGGACTCGGACTCGAGCTCGAGCTCGAGCTCGGGCTCGGGCTCCGAGTTGGGCTCGGACTCGGACTCGGACTCGGACTCGGACTCGGACTCGGACTCGGACTCGGACTCAGGCTCCGACTCGGACTCGGGCTTGGACAGCCGCCGGGGTGGAGAACCCAGCTGCACTGTGAACAGGTGGCCGTTGCGTGGTCATCTTCATAAGGTGTTGGTTATCACACTAGTGACTCTGCAGTCCTCACAACGATCACGACACATCGCATCTGGCTGCGGAAACATATTTAAATGGAATCATCTGTGAGCTCTGCCGTGCACCTCGGTCCGTGTGAAATCAGGCATTAGTTGTCACGTGCCAACTGCCGGTCCGAGCGGACGCGCAGCAGGATCCGTGCAGGATCTGGCTGATTGTCAGCCGGTTTCGAACGTGGCGTTCCGTCTGTTGAGACGATGAGCGAGATTAGTTGTTATGGCATATGCTCGAACTTTATCCATTCTATTCTAATGGCAAGTTTTTTGGAAGATGTTGGACAAGTTGTTCAGTTGAACTGCGCGCACTTGCCTCGCCCCCTGTGAGAAATCTGTTAAGATAATTGTGTATTGAGTGCACCATTCACAATGCAGTTTACAATTCAGTCCTTTGATGTTGCGCCGGCACGCACAATGCCACTCTGCAACGCATGCTTTCTCGGGGGGGGGGGGGGAGGGGGCGACGCGCCTCCCCAGCGGCGGGCTCTGGACCCTGCCGGTCGGCGCGGCCACCTGCACCGTATATGCACCATGGCCCGACCCGACCTGACAGCCCTCCGCTCACCGCAGGGCAAGAACGACCTGGCGTTCCGGCAGTTCATGCAGGCCTACCAGTACGTGGAGCTCTCGGAGAACGTCATCAACGACCACAGCTACGTGGCCAGCGCCATGGTGGGCATCTCCAGCGCCAGCAGGCTGCTGGCCGACTTCAACGAGCTCGTGTACGTGTGGGGCGACGAGGAGTTGGAGCGGGTGCTCGCCTGGAAGACGGCCCGGGAGGGCATGCACGTGGAGGAGCGCGCCGGGTCGAAGTGGATTTAGCATCGGCCTGCGCTGCCGGTGGTGCTGCGATGTCTTCAGCCGCCAGCTTCAGCTTCAGCTTCAGCAGCTGTGTGTCGTGCCGTCGCTAGTTTCGAAGGCGAGAGGAGAGGAGGGGATGCAGCCCGCGATGCTGCGGAAGCTCCGCGGGGCGTGCAGCTGTCCGGTGGCCCAGGGCGGCCTGTTGTGGTGATGGCGACGCGACGCAAAAGTGTTTCAGTGACCGCGGAAGTCCAACCGACGGGGGACAAAGAGCTTGCTTCAGTGTCTGGATGCTGGTTGTGAGATTGGGATTGGCAAATCCGTTGTTGAAAAATGCTCATTATATTTAGCATGCATATGTTGTGTGCTTGATATGTGTCAGCCCAACCATTTATTTAGGGGCAATGCGAATCGAAAGCATATCACGATATCGAAGTAGACGTATTTGCCAAATGGCACGTGTGTAGAGCAAATTTGCATGTGTACCTACTTGTGTGTTCTAGTTGGGGTCATTGTTTTCACCCCTCTAGCCAACATAAATCAACATTTATCTATATTATGTGGCTGTGCCAACCGGTCGTTCCTGTTTATGAATGTGTTGCAATACAGCTGTTGAATCACTGATGTTTTCCTGGGTTATCTTCCTCAATGGCAAATGTCCTAAAATAACTATGATTTGTTGTACTGGAGCACTGCTGTAATACGGGCTAACACTGGCTTGAGACCATCGTGACAGGGGTCCTCGGTTTGCCTTTGTTTGATAATGACAAGACGCGCTGCTAGCGATGACCTATCTTGAATCATTCCGTGTGATGGTTGAGCTTTTATCGCGACGAGGCTCGGGTAGATCGATTTTTGTAAGGCATATTTCCATGCAAGCCTGCAGGCGTTATGGAAACCTGGGCAAGTTGGGGAGACGCCCCTTCGTCCCACGGATAGAACATTCAGGAAGCCAGTGATTTCATGGATGGCAGTCAAAACGAGGCCTCTAAGTCACTAACTGAATGGAACTGACTAAACCACGCCTTCATTACCATGCCAGTTCTATAGCTCTAGCTGAGTGAAGTTGACTTAACAGCATCTCCATTCCCATGTATGGTCGGTCAAAAGTTGAATCGTGAATGAATAATACCTACTTTGGTTTCCAGTATGCCGTGTCCCGATATTAATACTAAATTATTGTCGGCATGCCCCGTCGATCACCGTATCAGCGCCACCTTTAGCATGGTGCGTCGGTCCCGATATCAGCGCCACCTTTAAAAACATATAGTATTTTTTACTGTCAAGAGGTGCCTCTGCCATGACTTCCCGTGACCTTGCAAGCATCAAAATCGCGCTAGATTCGTCCGATCGTCTGCTGGTCAGTTTTGATGTAAAATTCCAAGTTTAGGCCCGGAAACACTCGTTTTTTTGCCATTTTCTATTCACGAGGTAAGATATCCCAACATGTATCGCCTTTTGAGGTGTGTCCAGGTGAAACTGTGTTGGAGAAAGTAACGAAATGCCCCTAGGGCTGCTCGAAATTGGTTTGTTATTGTACGGGTCTGGTCTCGCCCCTCCCAAGGTCGTGCAACGAAAACTATCGTGCAAGTGTTGGGGAAAGGGCTCGAGTGCTACTGCAGATAAGAAAACAGACATTTACAGGTATCTGTGGTGTGTTATGCAAATGCTGCTGAAGCTATGAAGTGTTATTACATGTGTCACTCACTTTGTGGCCATTGATGTCAGCATGGAAGTCATGTGCACAAGGTTTGGGTTTGTGTAGAGTGCCTCTCCCTAGTTTTATCATCTGCAAGGCTGCTCATATATGTTGATATTTTTGCCACTAAGTAAATCATACAGATAACTACCACCATCACATGGTCTAAGGGTTCAAATTATTCCATTTACATTGGTGAGACCAGCCAAATGTCTGACATTATCTACTTGTAGACTCTTACACCTAGGTCATGTAATAGCACACCTAACTTTGATAAAAAGGGCATATTTGACTGTCCCATTATGTCCTTAGTGTTCTGCTTTTCTGCATTCCTTAGCCTCTCTATTCCTCTCTATTTCAGTGTATATGTGTCACTTGCCACAATAGTTATTGGTTTTCTATCTTTCTCATTCATTAGGGAGAATTATCATACATTTTTCATTGGCTGTGGGAAGTAATATTTGTTTCTGTAGGTGACCTGTCATAAGTGTCATCTAGCAGTGTAATCTTATGTTTTCAGATGATTTGATGGTTGAAGGGCTCATGCAGATGGAGGTGAAACTATCTCTGAACCTGCTGTAATGTATGCAAAATATGTTGTCTTTGTAGATTACAGTTCCTTGACTCATAACTCATGAGCTGGCGCTGTTGCTTTGCATTACTAAGCAGGATTTTTTTCTTAATTATTTATCCTAGACAATACCTCTTCAAGCTGATATATTTACCACTATTAGATATAATCCTACCCAGTGTCAGATACATGAAAGCCCTTCATGTGTCTCAAGCCAGGATACAGTCCAAACCTAAGGCTCAGTGCCTACATTTGTTGCATTTTGACTGGTGCTAAGCATGAACCATTTGCTTAGGCTCTCCAGTGCTGATTGACCAGACATTTGTTTGACAAATGGACAAGTTAGCAACTTTGGGTGGACTAAATAAATGGGCACACAAAAGCATACTGCAACAAGGCAGCACAGGACAGATGCATGTTTACTGGTAACAAACTCATCTGTTGATTTACCAGGTAGGATTTGACATATGAAGACCTCCCCATAATGCTTGTGCTCCAGTTACATCATGCAATGTTTGGCGAGCCACATGGTTGGCCGAGGCTACCGATATTACGACGTAAATGATCGCAACAGTTTGGTTTGGTGATAATGTTTTTCGGAGCTTTAATACCTGATGGCATCTAGCATGGTCTGCATCTTAACCATGATCCCATACCAGGACAGCTCTGTGTGTGCCGATAACGAACGCTCAATGTCATGTCGGGACACGGAGGCCCGGGTGCGTGCCGGTATTCGGGTCCCCATGGGTGGAATGTGCTCCGGGACAAGCCTTCAGGTCAGGCTCACAGGAGGCAAGTCTTGCTACAAAATTGCTGTCTTTGTACCCCTGTTATGAGTGACCATAATCCATCTCAGATGCTGCGAACTATTATGGGGAGATGAGACCTTTGGTTGTGTCGGTGTGACTAATGATTTCCAAGGAGGACCACCTCAGGGGGGAGGGGGGGACGGTCTGTGTTGTCTGTCATGCCTTTGTGGTGTGCAGTGACCTGTGCGATCTCGGGGCCACCTCGCCCCCTGCGGATTCACTGTTTTTCGGAGGCCCGCGACCGACCGGGAGCAGGCAACACGAAGAGTCCGTGTCCTACGCTCTTGATGAACGCTATCACCAATGCGTCACGGAATGTGAAGAATTAAACTCGTTACTGAACGTACGCCTGCAAGAGCCATGCCTGGCGTTTACACCCCTCTGGGAATGGAGGGTCTCGTTTCCAACTTTTCATGGTACGGATTTGGGAATCTGGCGCACCCTAAGCAGTGTTTTCTATGTGAGCCCTGGCCCCACCTGCTGATCGTGAAATTGCAGGTCAATGGCGGGCTTTTGCGGCGCTCGTTGGTTGCGTCATTATATGTCGCAATGCTCGGTGCAATCCGTCTTGCCCGCTAGCGTCATCCGGCCTTTATACGGCTAGGGGCGTATGCAGGAAGTCGCAATGGAGGGGGGGGGGGGGGGGGGGAGGGGCACAACGTACGAATGCGGCGTGCGAAACTGATTCATGAACGCAAACCAGGGATGCCGGCGCTTCCGATCTGTTAAGATCTACGGTTGTGCCTCTGAGTTTCTGTTATGAATCTTACTTCACGCACTTATTCATGCATGCCGTACATCTGATACGAGAGGAGGCACGTACCCCATGGGGGCTTCGATGTGGATACGCCCGAGTGTAGCCACTGCCACCGCCCGCAGCCTTCCCCAGTCAGGGGCACACAAAGGGCCTAAAGTGACTCGAGCTCATCCCGCCACAGGCGGGTGGGTACCTAATTGAGCTACCGGGACAGGCAATATTCCCTTTAGGTCAGTCATTGCGTGTTTGAATGTCGTCAAACGGTGGTATTTCATGGAATGGAACTTGGTCATTCCTAAAGCAACCAACACCGCTGAGCAATACCTTTCTTAAATAGGTGTTACATGCTGTAATTATATCGGTCTATTTTCTTGCTTGATCCTACCACAAATAATTTCCAACCGACAAAGATGACCCTAGGGCAGCACTGACTCCAACTGAGGATTGCTAGGCATGAGTCAACCTCTGTTGTCAGTAGCCTCCGAATGCCACTAATGGGTCATCGGAGGGTCCAGCCCCCCCCCCCCTGCCTCCCCCTCGGCTTGGTGTCCGTACATGTAAGATCGATATTTCCCTAGGGCCGATCTGCCTTTGGAGTAGTTGCCGGTGCTGTGTGAAGGAGCTCTCGGAATGCTGACGTAATCGTGATCCGCCAGTGTTGTGACACCCGCCAGCGTTTCCGCACTGATTTAATAAGTGCGGCACGGAAATTGGCTAAGGGGTTTACACGCACGGGCTCTGGCATTCCCTCTGACCACCACGAACTCAATGCGCAATACGCGTGACTCACGCACAAATCGGTTGAATTTGCAATAAAATTTGCTTCTGCTTCCGAAAAATGTGAATGTTGCACACTGTTTCGTGATGTTGATATGCGGCCTTCTGTGTTTTCAGAGCCTGCCTACATTTCAGGGGTTTCGAAATTCTTGTGGAACAAACTCTTGATCTCTCCGCAGCATAAAGGTAAGTCATCAGTTGTTGCCCTAATGAATGCGTTAAGGCTTAGTCTGTTCCCTGTATGGCGCTGCGTATACGGCGTGTGATAGTGCTGGTTATCGGTTTATTGCCGATGCGACATTTATCACACGGCTTGTGCGCTATGCTGGCCCGGCGTGAGTGCGGTTTCCTGTGCACCCAAGTGACGTATGATGGGGTTGGGACTCCAGCGGCCAACATGAGACGAAAGTGTGGGGAGGGGGGTGTAAGGGCGACCGACGACCGATGCCTTTTTACTGCAGTGAAAGTGGGTCGCATTCGGAGAGAAACCCGTTTACCGGTATTTCGGGGTGAGCTTAGACATTTCTCTGTGCTCCCTCCAACCCCCCCCCCTCCCCTTGCCCAACGAATTTGGCGAAACCACGCTCGAGATGCACCACAACAAGCGTCTGCACGCGTTGTTATACGTAATGAGTTTCGTCGGGAGCGTTGGAGCCGGTTGCAGTTTGATCCGTGCGCAGCTGCAGTGTATGTGCTAGGCCATAGGGGGTTGGTGGGTCTGCAGGTGGTGTAGCAGACCTGTGCTGGACTCATCGTGAAGTCAGAAGTCGTTCACAGTCAGCTGTCTTGTCACATGCTCTCTTACCATCGAAAGAAGTGTTCTGTGTTCTCTTGTTTGAATTCCACAAAGGACATCGACCGCACTGCAAAGAATCACCCCCTTATCATCGTCATCGAAACCCCAGCATCGGAATCGTTTTCGGAATGATATCGTATCACCTCGAGTTGGCGCCAGCCCAAAATTGTGGCATGTTTCTCGTTGCGGCAGTCAGAATCATGTACGTGCGGTGAATGGACTGAAAATTAACTCCCGGATCGGTGTCAATCGTAAGTGTGTTGCGTGAGAACTTGAACTGGTGTGTGCTGGCAAGGTGATTATTTGCTCAAGCCACCTGTTTATAAACGGGCGACGGGCTTCGGGGTCGCAAGCTTTTGTCCTGGCCCGACTTCGAGGGACGAAGGCCGAAGCTTGTCTAGGCTGCCGCGCTATCGTCCTCCTGCTGACCGCTGTGAGTCGCTCAGATCTCAAACTGTATCGCCTTTCCACCGAGGAGCCGTCTTCCGGCGCGGCGCTGTTGTCGCCGCCTCGCACGCCGTGCTCGGTTTCAGCGCGGGAAGGCTGCCGTTTCGCTCCGCTCCCCTAAAAACGCCGCTGCCCGTGCCGCTGGACGGACGAGCGGGTTCCGCCATCACGCACGGCGTAATCGGAGCCGGCCTTCCTCGAGCGGATCACGCGCTGTTGCCACCCAGGCGCGTCTCGCCCTGTTTTTCGACGGCCGGCCGCCCGCAGCGTTCGGCCGCGTCCGGCGGCGCGCTGCACAGTGGCGCTGTTATCTCTG